TGTATAAGAGGAAAAACATACCTCGCTCATGGATAGGAAGACTCAACATTGTGAAAATGTCAATTCTACCCAAAGCGATCTACAGATAGCGATGCAATCCCAGTCCAAATTCCAACAACATTTTTTAATGAGATGGAGAAACAAATCACCAACTTCATATGGAAAGGCCCTGGATAAGTAAAGCATTACTCAAGAAGAAGAACAAAGTGGGAGGCCTCACGCTACCTGATTCTAGAATCTATTATACCACCATGGTAGTCAAAACAGCCTGCTACTGGTACAACAACAGATACATAGACCAATGGAACAAAATTGAGAAACCAGACAAAAATTAATGCACCTATAAGTAGCTGATATTTGACAAAGGCCCAAAGTCCACTAATGGGGGAAAAGACAGTCCCTTTAACAAATGGTGCTGGTGTAACTGGACATCCATCTGCAAAAAACTGAAACAAGACCCATACCTCACACCATGCACAAAAACTAACTCAAAATGGATCAAAGACCTAAATATAAAATCTAAAATGAAAAAGATCATGGAAGAAAAAATAGGGACAACACTAGCAGCCCTAATACATGGCATAAACAGAATTCAAACCATAAGTAACAATGCACAAACACTAGAAGAGAAACTAGATAACTGGGAGCTCCTAAAAATCAAACACTTATGCTCATCAAAAGACTTCACCAAAAGAGTAAAAAGACAACCTACAGACTGGGAAAAAAAAATTTGGCTATGACAAATCCAATCAGCTTCTAATCTCTAAAATCTATAAGATACTGCAAAACCTCAACAACAAAAGGACAAACAACCCAATTAAAAAATGGGCAAAGGCTATGAACAGGCACTTCGCCAAAGAAGACATTCAGGTGGCTAAAAGACACACGAGGAAATGCTCACGATCATTAGCCATTAGAGAAAAGGAAATCAAAACTACAATGAGATACTATCTCACCACAACAAGGCTAGCATTAATCCAAAAAACACAAAATAATAAAGGTTGGAGAGGTTGTGGAGAGAATGGAACACTTATACACTCTTGGTGGGAATGTAAAATGGTACAACCACTTTGGAAATCAATTTGGCACTTCCTTAAAAAGCTAGAAATAGAAGTACCATACGATCCAGCAATCCCACTCCTTGGAATATATCCGAGAGAAATAAGAGCCGTCACACGAATAGATACATGCACACCCATGTTCACTGCAGCACTGTTCACGGTAGCAAAAAGATGGAAACAACCTAGGTGCCCATCAGCGGATGAATGGATAAACAAATAATGGTATATTCACACAACAGAATACTACTCAATGATAAAGAACAACGATGAATCCGTGACACATCTTATAACATGGAGGAATCTGGAAGGCATTATGCTGAGTGAATTTAGTCAGTCACAAAAGGACAAATAATGTATAAGACCAGTATTATAAGAACTCAAGAAAAGGTTTGAACAGAGAAGAAAACACTCTTTAATGGTTACGAGGGTGAGGAGGGAAGGAGAGGGGAATACACTAAAAAGATGGTAGACAAGAATTATCTTAGGTGAAGGAAAGGACAACACACAATACAGGGGAAGTCAGCACAACTGGACTAAACCAAAGCTAAGAAGTTTCCTGAATACAACCAAACACTTCGAAGGATAGAGTAACAGGGACAGGGGTCTGGGAACCATGGTTTCATGGAACATCTAGGTCAACTGGCATAATAAAGTTTATTAAGAAAATGTTCTGCATCCTACTTTGGTGAGTGGTATCTGAGGTCTTAAAAGCTAGCGAGCAGCCATCTAAGATCCATCAATTGTTCCCCACTACCTGGAGTAAAGGAGAATGAAGAACACCAAAGACAAAAGGAAAGTATTAGCCCAAGAGACAGAAAGGGCCACATAAACCCAGAGACTGCATCAGCCTGAGACCAGAAGAACTAGATGGTACCTGACTACCACCAATGACCACCCTGACAAGCAACACAACAGAGAGTCCCTGACAGAGAAGGAGAAAAGTGGGGTGCAGAACTCAAATTCTGGTAAAAAGATCAGACTTAATGGTCTGACTGAGACTGCAGGAACCCCAGAAAGCATGGCCTCTGGACTCTGTCAATCTAAAACTAAACCATTCCCAAGGCCAACTCTTCAAAGGTTAGACTCGACTATGGGACATAAAATGATACTCGTGAAGAGTGTGCTTCTTAGCTCATTTAGATACATGAGACTAAACGGACAGCTCCTGTCCAAAGGTGAGATGAGAAGGCAGAGAAGGTCAGGAGCAGGTTGAAAGGACACGGGAAATCCGGGATGGAAAGGAGGAGTGTGCTGTCACAGTACAGGGAGAGCAATTAGGGTCACATAACAACGTATGTATAAATTTTTGTATGAGACACTAACTTGAATTGTAAACTTTCACTTAAAGTACAACAATAAAATTTTAAAAAGTTAAAAAAAACCAATACAATAAATTCAATAGATCGAAACACATCAAATATGTTTAAATCCACATGTTCATTATGATATTAAGACCAGAAAAAACTTCACTTGTCAGTTTTGGATATTAGTAGGAAAACCAATTCATTATTTTGAAAATTGGTAAATAAAAAGAGTCAATCAAACATTTATCCTGCTTTTCCTATACAAATAATATCTGAATAGCAAAAGAGTTGATAATGGTAAGACTCTAGAAGTATTCCAGCTAATAAATTAAGGAATGATGGAATTATAGTATTACTCTTGTAACTCCTAAGGAAATAATGCATCTAGATAATAATCATCAACGGCTTCTAACATATCCAAAAAGAGAAACAACCAGACATAATGTGTCTCCTGATGAAAGAACACATCACCACCTATGAAGTATCCTTGCTACTCTCATCCTCCATATATCGCCTCTATATCGAACTACAAATTTACAGTAAATACACATCAAACATGTTAAGCAACACCAATCAACAAAATCCACACTATGAGAAACTACAGGGCAACAGCCCAGTTTCTACAATAAATAACTAGCAAGGTAAAAGAGGATGAGAGACAAAAAGATAGCAAGTGTGTGCACATGTGAGAGAGTACCTATAGATTAAAAGGGATTAAGAGACATATCAACCGAGACAATAACGAGAAACAGACTGAATAGTTCATGATACTGAGGAATTACTCGTTCCTATGTGTGATAATATTCTAGTTACTTTTTTTTTAAAAAAAAGTGCTCATCATGTACAGATATTTACTGAAATACTTATAGATGAAATAATATGATATGCTATCTGGGATTTGCTTCAAAATAATCCAAGGGGAAGAGAAGGCACAGAAGTGGCTTGAGTGCATGAATAAAACAAGACTGACCATCAGTTGATAATTGTAACCGCAGTGTTAATGGGGATTGACAATATTATTTTTACTAATTTTACGTGTGTTTGATATCTTCCATAAAATAATATTAAGACATTTTAACTTGGTTTAAAAAGAAAAGCTCTTTTTATCCAGGATATAGTACTTCTTTTCAGTGATAAAGATAAATTCTCCAGACGATAGTACCCTGTATGTTATTTTACTCTAACAGTAAAAGTTGACCTTTCACAGAGCTTCACCTTTAAAATGGGCCATTATGGAGTTATCAAGCCTATGTCTTCATCTTGTTAATAACATAACCTCAAAAGAATATTCCTGAATCAAATACAATACAATAAAGATTAACTTTTCATGAATTAAGATTTTTTTCTCTCAAACTGGAGCAAATAGCCTAAACATTTGGGACCTTCTTACTATATGCAAAGACCTACAGAAAGAAGTCCAAATCTTAATAGCTTTAGCTTCCCTGTATCTTGCAGTTAATGCACAACCTACTCCTTTCAATATCAACTTTATTCTAGAAATATTTATATAGGACTGGCCTTATAATGGATTATGAAATAAGAGTTTAGATTTCCTTCACTTTGCCTTTTAGTGGTCTCCTTCTCATTCGTATTATTGTCCCTTGCTAATTCCTCCCCCTCAAAAGCCTTCCTTTTAACTGGTTCCTACAGTGATTCTTAACCAGAGGCAGTATTGCCCCAATAGGAAGTGTCTGGAAATGTACAAGAGCATTTTTTTTTCATTGTCATAATGAACTGGGGAGGTGGGCACTACCTACATTTATTAAGTAGGAGTACAGGAATAGAATGACCTATCTAACATCTTCCTAGCTAGCAATTACCCATGAAAATACAACTGCACCCTATGGAGAAAGTTTCAGATAACACCCTCTCCTTCAAGTTCAGCCAGAAATTTTCCTCAGACCTTGCTTTCTGAATTACTTACTTTTCCTGTGTCCCAAAGAATCTGGTAACCACCTCCATCAGATCACTTGCCTCACACAGTATTAGTCTTTTGTTCACTTGTATACACTCCGCGCCCCCACACACACACTGTACGGTGAGCTCCTTGAGAGTAGGAATCCTGTCTTAGTGATCTCTATATTCCCAACCCTTGACAGATAACACACAACACATATTTCATGAATGCAGTGCATGGGAAGAGAAGAAAGAAAGGTGTTTGGGATTGGGGCATGCTTGAGTAGCATACGCAAAGGCATATGGGTGAAGAGAAATATAGAACATTTGGAAAGCAGTGTGAAAAGTGACTTATGGCAAGGAACAGGACCAGGGCTGAGTAAATCTCCACCATCAGCAGCTATTAAGACACTCAATTAGAGGATAAAACTTCTGTGAACAATCTGGGTTTCTTTACAGAGAAGTCCAGACAAACACAGATTCACACAATTTTGGAGCTCAACAGCCCAGAGAAAAGAGGTGCCTTATACAAGGTTCCAAAGAGTAAGTTATTAGAAGTAATCTGGCTAATCCATATTTCAGGATACATGGTGAAATATGGTCTCTAAAACACTAAAATATGTTTTAGAGACAGACATTTAGAAAATTCAAAAAAGAAAACAATATATATCATCTAAATAATTCACAATCTTCAAAATCAGTCATACTTCTCTACTTGTAAATTAAAACTGGGACTTACCATGCATACAAGTTTGTTCTCCTGGGTTTCTTTATCAAAGGAAATGTCTGCAGCATCATCACCTCCTGCAATTCTTTCCCCAATTTCACCGCTGATTCGCATCACCTCTACATGCAGCCGACCTGCCACCTATAACAATGGGGGTGGGGCATAGGGGGTAAGCAGAAACTTTTTAACACAGTTTTGTTGTTTCTTTCTTGAGATTATCTCTCTTCTGCTTTACAGTCAAGTCATTAGGTTAATGGTATATGAGAATTTAGATGCCTGGGTTATAACAGTTACTTTCTTGCAAAGTTCTCGGAGTAACTATTACATAAGGTATTAATAATACAACTAAATACTAGTTGTAATTACTAATAAAAATAGTAATAACAATAATACCATCACCACCCTATGGTTTCTTGAACTTTTCTCTGCAGGAAACAAGGGATGAAGAGTAAACCAACCTCTCCTTTCTGGTTGATGATTGGAACAGCATACTGTAACTTCACATCATAGAAAAGGGACTCAAGGAAGACATTGGCCACCCCAATGAGACTGTGATTTTCCTGTTCATCATAGAATGGATCAGCACGCTTGAAGTAAGACCGTATTACCTTTAAAGAAATTCAAAACAACTTCAGAAAATCACTTAAAATGAATGGATTCAACCTAACACCTTTTGATGTCTTCTATTTTAAGCCATTAAACTTTTTTTTTTAATTGTTGTGCTTTAAGTGAAACTTTACAATTCAAGTTAGTCTCTCATACAAAAATTTATACATACATTGTTATGTGACCCTAGTTGCTCTCCCTATAATGTGACAACACACTCCTCCTTTCCACTCCAGATTTCCCGTGTCCATTCAACCAGCTCATGACCCTCTCTGACTTTTCAACTTGCTTTTGGAGATGAGCTGCCCATTTAGCCTCATTTATCTACTTCAGCTAAGAAGCATACTCTTCACAAGTATCATTTTATGTCCCATAGTCCAGTCTAACCTTTGTCTGAAGAGTTGGCCTCAGGAATGGTTTTAGTTTGGAGCTAACAGAGAGTCTGGGGGCCATGTCTTCCAGGGTCCCTCCAGTCTCAATCAAACCATTACGTCTGGTCTTTTTACTAGAATTTGAGTTCTGCACCCCACTTTTCTCCTGCTCCATCAGGGTGGTCACTGGTGGTAGCCAGGTACCATCTAGTTCTGGGCTCAGACTGATGAAGTCTCTGGTTTATGTGGCCCCTCCTGTCTCTTGGGCTAATACTTTCCTTGTGTCTTTGGTGTGCTTCATTCTCCTTTGCTCCAGGTGGGTTGAGACCAATTGATGCATCTTAGATGGCCACTTGCAGGCTTTTAAGATCCCAGATGCCACTCACCAAAGTGGGATGCAGAACAGTTTCTTAATAAACTTTGTTATGCCAATTGACCCAGATGTCCCCTGAAACCATGGTCCCCAGACCTCCGCCCCTGCTACTCTGTCCCTCGAAGTGTTTGGTTGTATTCAGGAAACTTCTTAGCTTTGTATTATTCCAGTTGTGCTGACTTCCCCTGTACTGTGTGCTGTCATTTCCTTCACCTAAGATAATTCTTGTCTACTATCTAGTTAGTGAATATCCCTCTTTCTCCCTCCCCACCCTCGTAACCATCAAAGAATTTTTTCTTCTCTGTTTAAACCTTTTCTTGAGTTCTTATAATACTGGTCTTATACAGTATTTGTCCTTTTGCAACTGACTACATTCACTCAGCATAATGCCTTCCGGATTCCTCCGTGTTATAAGATGTTTCATGGATTCATCATCGTTCTTTATCGTTGCATAGTATTCCACTGTGTGAACATACCATAATTTATCCATTTATCCGCTGATGGGCACCTAGGTTGTTTCCATCTTTTTGCTATCATGAACAAACTTTCATAACTATAATCTGATCCTTGCATTCTTTTAGAGTAAAACAAACTTCTTGCTGAAGTTATTTGTTAGCCGTTGTTAGGTGCTGCCAAGTCGGTTCTGACGCATAGCAACCCTACGTACAACAGAACGCAACTCTGCCCAGTCCTGTGCCATCCTCATGATAGCTGTTATGCTTGTGCCCATTGTTGCAGCCACTGTTTCAACCTGTCTCATCAAGGGTCCTCCTCCTTTTCACTGTCCCTCTACTTTACCAAGCATGATGTCCTTTTTCAGGGACTAGTCCCTCCTAATAACATGCCCAAAGTATGTGAGACGAAGTCTCGTCATCCTCACTTCTACAGAGCATTCTGGCTGTACGTCTTCCAAGACAGATATGTTCATTCTTTTGGCAGCCATGGTATATTCAATATTCTTTGCCAACACCATAATTCAAAAGCATCAATTCTTCTTTGGTCTTCTTTATTCATTTGCCCAGCTTTCACACATATATGAGGCAAATGAAAACACCATGGCTTGGGTCAGGTGCACCTTAGTCCTTAAAGTGACATCTTTGCTTTTTAACACTTTAAAGTGGTCTTTTGCTGCAGATTTTCCCGATACAATGTGTCGTTTGATTTCTTGACTGCTGCTTCCATGGGTGTTGACTGTGGATCCAAGCAAAATGAAATCCTTGAGAATTTCAAACTTTTCTCCATTTATCATGATATTGCTTACTGATCCAGTTGTGAGGATTTTTGTTTTCTTTATATGTTGAGGTGTCATCCATCCTGATGGCTGTAGTCTTTGATCTTCATCAGTAAGTGCTTCAAGTCCTCCTCACATCAGCAAGCAAAGTTGTGTCATCTGCATAACACAGGCTGTTAGTGAGTCTTCCTCCAATTCTTCATATAGTTCAGCTTCTCGGATAATCTGCTCAGCATACAGATTGAATAAGTATGGTAAAAGGATACAACCCTGACACACACCTTTAGAGACTTTAAACCATGCAGTATCCTCTTGTCCTGTTTGAACTGTCTCTTGGTCTATGTACAGGTTTTGCATGAGCACAAGTAAGTGTTCTGGAATCCCCATTCTTCCCAATGTTATCCATAATTTGTTGCAGTTCACACAGTTGAATGCCTTTGCATAGTCAATAAAACACAGATAAACATCTTTCTGGTATTCTCTGCTTTCAGCCAGTATCCATCTGACATCAGCAATGATATTGCTTGTTCCACATCCTCTTCTGAACAGCTTGAATTTCTGGCAGTTCCCTGAATGATTTTCAGCAAAATTTTACTTGCATGTGATATTAATGATATTGTTTGACAATTTCTGAATTCAGTAGGATCACCTTTCTTTGGAATATAAGTATAAATATGGATCTCTTCCAGTCAGTTGGCCAGAGAGCTGTCTTCCAAATTTCTTGGCATAGATGAGTGAGCACTTTCAGTGTTGCATCTGTTTGTTGAAGCACCTCAATTGATATTCCCTTGATTGCAGGAGCCTTGATTTTCGGCAATGTCTTCAGCGCAGCTTGGACTTCCTCCTTCAGTACAATCATTTCTTGATCATATGCTACCTCCTGAAATGAATTCTGCTTGGTATGGTGAGTCTGTGTACTCCTTCCATCTTCTTCTGATATCCTGCATCGTTCAGTATTTTGCCCATAGAATCCTTCACTACTGCAACTCGAGGCTTGAATTTTTTCTTCAGTTCTTTCAGCTTAAGAAATGCCAAGTGTGTTCTTCCCTTTTGGTTTTCTAACTTCCAGTCTTGCACTTGTCTTTATAATACTTTGTCTTCTCGAGCTGCCCTTTGAGATCTTCTGTTCAGTTCCTGTACTTCATCATTTCTTTCGTTCACTTTAGCTACTCGACGCTCAAGAGCAAGTTTCAGAGTTTCTTCTTATATCCATTTTGATCTTTTCTTTCTTTCCTGTCTTTTTAATGACCTCTTGCTTTCTTCATGTATGATGTCCTTGATGTCATTAGCACCATTTTATACACACACACATTCTCTCTCTCTTTCTGTCTCTCTCCCCCTCCCACTCCCATTTAGAATGGTGGTCAGCATCCTTCAGCCATAAGATAGCAATCAAAATAATGTCATTTACTTTTCATCATTTGTTCTCCTTTATGTGGCAATCTTGCTGGGAAAAAAGAAAAAAAAAACAACAACAACAAGAAACAACATACACTGACTAGATAAAGAAGTGGAGTGCACTAAAGTATTCTTCGTTTTTCTTTTAAGAAAGAGAGTCATCATACCTATTCTTACCAAATCATTGGATATGCTGCTACTAATAAGAGTAAACCCTTTTACAAGAGAATGGTTTACTTTTCGTGCATTTATTGTTATTCTTCTTTTATTTCTAAGTTAAAATAGGAAAGGGATACCGGAAACTATAGAAAAAAACCTTCAGAAAAATGTCATCTAACTATAAAAAGTCATTTTTATTGTTGATAATCTGGAAAAATAAACATATTTACAAAACAAGAGGCTAAGGAAGTAAACAATTTTATGAGACAACAGGTCTAGCAGTATTGAAAATATATAAAAATATGCATAATATATAAATTTATTTTAAATATGTACAACTGCATGCCTGATCTCAATGAAGAAATCTGCTGCTTGAGGAGAGAGTACCAGTGTACAGATCTATGGCATCTACTTTAGAATTAAAATTCCTTCTAAAAATGTTTCTAATATTTACAGTGTAAATATTAGGTACCACTGACTTCCAATTCAAAAAACATACACTGTATGTCTATTATTTGCAAGGTTATATGTGTTGAGAAGTGGGAAAAAAGATAATAAATGTGCTGAGAAACGAAAAAAGAGATCACGCCCTAAAGAAATTCACATTCCAGTACAGAAGACGGACAAACACACACCAACAGAAGTCAGAATGTGATAAAAACAAAGTTTGTTGAAATATCTTAAAGTGGAAAATTCTTCTAGAAATTCAGATTACTCAAAATTAGAAGAAAAAAGTAGATATCAGAAAGGTTGTTAGAATTCTTTCAGCTGGATGATTTAGAGGCTTAAAATAAATTTTATTCTAGACAGGATTACTATTTTGGAAAATAAACAATTTTTCCCCTGAAATGGGTAAGCTCATTCCTGTTTGATTCCTTCCATAACTATCAGTTAAGCAATTTTTCTCAAATAACTTACTGGGGAATCTTCTTCACACTCCTTCCACTCTTGATAAAGTTCTCTCATATCCAACAACCTATTGTCCAATTTTTCCAAAGACCAGATCTGCTTTCCTTTTCCTTTTCTTCTCACCTGGATTGCAGGTTCACTAAGAACAGAATCTCGCTGCAAAGATAGTGAGAACGACTGGGTGAAACAGCAAAAATATCCATCATTGAAGTCAGACCTGAACATTCTTATACCTGCCAGTCAAATGTCATCAAGCTGAAACTGCCAATTTTCTTTAATTTGTTCACTACAAAGCTTACCAAAAAAGGTTACAAACTTAATATAATGCCTTTACATCCACCTACAATCGTAGCTACCTACAATCAAAATTTTAATTTAAGTATAAACTATAAGTATAAACTTAAACTGTGATTGTAGGTGGTTATAAATTTAAATTTAAAACCCAAAAGACTAGACCATATTTAAGGAGAAGTTAAAAGAAAATGTTTTATTTGAGCCTCAATATGACCACACACTTTCAATGGGTAGTGAGTCATTTGCCAACAGCAACTCAAAAGGTTTGAGGGGAAGCCTAGGGGGCAGTGAGTTGAAGATGATGGTGATGGAATAATTTGGAAAAAGATTGTGAGAATAACAGCACAAATGGAAGAATATAATCGATGTCACTGAATGGTACATGCAGAAATTTCTGAAATGATGTATCTTTGGCTATGTATATTTTCACACACAAAAAAAAAGTCCGCCAAGATCGAGAAGGGAGAGTGTTGACATGTCATGGGGTTGTTAACCAATGTCATAAAACAATATGTGTACTGACTGTTTAATGAGAAACTATTTGTTCTATAAACCTTCACCTTAAGTACAATAAAAAAAAAAATTTTTAAAAAAGTCATTTGCATTGAATGGCAAGGGCAAGTTTGCTGGGATGAATGGTTAAGAAACAATCTTTTACCTTTCAAAAGTTAAAATTCCAACTGTTTTTGAATGGGTAATATCTTAATGTGGTACAAAACACAAAATGTTTAAAATAGTAAACTGTGTAAAGTCTCCAATCTACCCATTTGGAGGCAACAAATGGTATCAGTTTTCAAAGACAATTTATGCATACACATAGTTTGAATTTATTATTAAAACAGTATGGAACTAGATAGAGGTGGTTGTTGCACAACACTATGAATGTACTAAATGCCAAAAAATTGTCCACTTTATATCTCCCCCAGAGAGATGTATCTAATCAGTTGTCTAATCAATTTGAATTTGCTGCCTTAATTTATCTACTGTTCTGATAGGTCTACTTAGAATATTGGAAAAGTGTGAAACATACCCATTCTTTTGTCAAGATCTTGGTTATAACCATTTCCAAAGAAACAGAATTTACATAATTAAATAAAGACTTGCAAATTGTTGGGGTCAAAAATTACAATTCTGTCACATACTTTAAAGGTCCCTCTATCATATACCCGGAAACCCTGGTGGCGTAGTGGTTAAGAGCTACCGTGGCTAACCAAAAGGTCAGCAGTTCGAATCCATCAGGAACTCCTTGGAAACCCTACAGGGCAGTTCTACTCTGTCCTATAGGGTCACTATGAGTTGGAATCGACTAGACGGCAACAGGTTTGGTCTTTGTTTTTTTTTTTTTTTTTTTTGATTATCATATATTCAGTCAGCTAGTGAATAAATATGAAAATTCCATTACAAATCTGTAGGTAATAGCTTTTCCTGGACAGAATGCTAGGACTGGGACTAAAAGATAATGGGCAATATGATGTAGCTATCATGACTTGGCCCTCTTACAAATAACTACAACAGTGATTGAAAAAAGAACAAATCTCTACCCATTGCCAAAAATACCCAGAGAGAGGTGACTACAAAGGACAGGAGTTAAGAGCAGAACAAAAGGCTATGCTCACAGCGTTCTCCAAATGCTAAATGAAGTAAGAGTTTTCAAACAGAAAAAGGAAAGTCAATTGCATTGAAAACTGGAAGACCTATCCTAGACTAAGGAGACTATCTCGTTAGGAAATTTATTTCCTTGTTCAGCTCCTCACTCTTGTTGAAATCTGAATACACTTACCTATTTAAAGCAATGAAAGTGCAGTGAATTACTGGCTGCCTGGTAAAAATGTCTGCTTCAACTCCACCAATGATAGTTACCTCTAGCAGCAACAGGAACACCCTCAAAGAACACACAGTTGTTGCATGAGATGAGATACCCAGAGTGACCTGATTTGCTGCTAGGTGTTGGCCTGGCTGCACAAAGTCAGAGTTGCTCCTTCCCAACAAAGCCCAAAACAGGATACAGACAAAACAGCTATAGTCATGCTTTATGGGGAAAAAAATTCAAAGTTTCTATTTTTTTTTCACCTCAAACATTACAGAGTGAAAGAAGATCTTGCTCTTCTCAGTCTCCTAGAAGAAGCTGAGCCCTGTACATTCCGCCTAAGATTAACTTTCTTCCACTGTTTTTGTCTATGAGTCCCACCCAGAATCTTCTCTACAAATACCAATAAGCAAATGAATAAACTTCTAAGTGGGTAAAATCTTTCAAATTACACACAGAGTATATATCAGAAGACATTTTTCCATAAGGTAATGCTTTATTGCTCAAAACATTAAGCATCATATTCACAAAAATCTACTCTGGGCAAAACTCAGACCTAGATGCTTTGATGTTATAAAAGAAAGAAAGATGTGATCCTTGCTCTCAAATTAGAATAGAATACCCAAAAAGGACTGATGAAAGTCTTTCCGTGTCCAATACTCCAGGAGAAACAGAATATATGGCCCCTCAAAAAATCTGTCATCTGAATGTAAAATTCTACCTAATCCATCAAAAAATTATGCTTGAACATGATCAAGAGCTAGAAAAGAATCTCAAAAAAAGAAAAAAAACTGAGAACAACTAAGTGGTATGGACAGCAAGATTTCATGAGGTTTTCCCCCTACATTTCATTATGCTTATTGCATTATACAAAAAAGACATTGTGATCTTGAATATACACATGAAGCAAGTGATAAACAATTCTACACAGCGTTCTATTAGCAAGTTGAAAACAACAATGGTATAGGTAAAATGAGCACCTAACTTATTAGGGGGAGGTTTAAGAGTGGTTATAGACTTAAAGGTGAAAAAAACACTTTGGGGACAGTAATCAGGAAAGACTTCTCAGAAATATGTTAAACAGATTTGAAGACTGAGAGTGGAGAGAATGAATTGGCAGGGTAGGAGAGGGTAAAAGAGGCGGACAGTATATTCCTAGTGAATAAAGGATGCATATGCACAAAAGCAGAGAATTAAAAGGAACTAAGTTCTACTTGAGCGAGCCTAGACTGAGGAGAATATAGATCGGGATGTTCAGGCAAACCCACTGTTATTTAACAACACTGATATCAGTGTTATTTAATAAAATAAAATAAAGCAATTTTATTCACTGATGTCCATACCCCCTTCACTCAATTAATGGCAACCTCACCTTTCTGTTGGCATCGAGGCTGGAGGCTGGAATCTGTAGGGTAACTTTATATTCTGTTCTTTTATCCAGTTCTTCTGCAATGTAACTAGCTTCTCTCACCAAGAGATTGGCTTTAACAATTTGTTCCCTCAACCTCATCAGGCTATTATTCAGTGTTGCTTCTCTTTGTTAGAAAAGAGGAGATGGGAGTGGGGAGGAGATAACATACAAAGCAGCACATCAGAATATTACATAGTACATATTATGATAATGCCAAAATGCAAACCAAGTTTTAAAATTACATTTTGTACACAGGGAACATACTACTGGCACTGACCCACACACACACTTGTATCTGGGCTACATTATAAGCACTGGCATACATTTGTATAACAAACCAGCCTTCTCAAACCAGTGCTTCTCAAACTTGATTGTGAATACAAACCTGGAGATTTTTAATCAGTAGGTCTTGGGGATGGGGTAAAGGGACGAGCATCAGAGATTCTGCACTTCTATCAATCTCCAGGTCATAGAGATGCTATCTGTCGATGCACCAAACTCTGAATAGCAAGGGGCTAGTTATGTAAAATCTGTAGCCATGGAATAAAACATTTCAGTGCACTGCTAGTTAGCCCATATAGAGATCAAACTTGCAATCTGAACCTTATTAGCACCATGCTTTACCTACCTGACTGAGCTAATCAGTCCAGATAACCAATTTTTTTTCCTTTTTTAAAAAAGCATCTACCCAAGCTTCAGAACCTACAGCATAATACAATGATAAAGTATAACTTCTAAGTATAAATACTTATTTAAATTCAAAAGCCGTACAAACTGAAAACAGGCTAGCACCAAACATAGGCAGTTTTGAATAAATCAACAAAAACTGACAGGGAAAAAGAAAAAGATAATGCCAAGCAGTTCTTGGCTGCAATACTCTTTTAATATATTATTTTACAAAGTAATGTCTCAATTTTTCCATTCTGTATTTTATCAAGATGGGTTAAAGGTGATGAATATATGCTATATATGTAATAAGCCCCCATGTACCACCTACCTCTCCTCAGCCCACTGTCTTAAGCGTTGTTGAGCGCTGGGTGAGTGGAAAGAGAACTTGTCCACGCTACTACGATAGTTTTGTTTTTCAGGAGACAGCCTTCTTCGTAGCTGCTCCAATTCATGTTCATACATGAGCCTCTGGCGTTCTAATGCAGATCGTTTTTCTTCTTCGTGCTGTTGTTCCAGGCTGTTCAATATTGACTGCATTGGATCTAAAAGAGTTTTTTAAAAAAGGTAAACACTAAAACGTAGTATTATTCAAATGTTGCTCTATATTGTTATGTTGGTTAAAAGCCTGAAAAAAAAATATCTGATTTCTAAAATTTTTAATATGAAATTGGGGAAATATAAATATGGACTGAATATTAGAGAATATTAGGGGATTATTATTAACTTTATTAGGTGTGATAATGCTTATGTAGAAGATAATGCTTATGCAATGCTTATGTAGAAGAATGTCCTTATTCTTGTAAGATGCATGCCGAAGTATTTAGAGGTGAAATATATAATATCTGCAACGTATTTTCAAATCAGCAAAAGAACAAATATATAGAAATAGATAAAACAAACAGATATGTTAACAATTGTTGAATCTAAGTGGTATTAACATTTTTGTATGTTTAAAATTTTTCATATTAAAATCAGAATAAAATAACAACATAAAGAACTCCATACTACATCAAAGGTGTTTAACGTATCAAAAAAATTTAAGCCAGCTTATACTTTTCATAATGACAAGGGCTTAAAATTTGCAACAAAGTTTGAAGTCATATTCCTTGGAGAAAATATGGGGGAATAAGAAATCGGGTAACGGCCACATAAACAACATAAACCAATAACAAACGGAAACGAAAATTGAACTAGATTACACTAAGGTCACATACATTCATTTATTTCATTAATTCCACAAACATTTACTAAGGAACTAATGTGTTCCAGGCATCATTCTAGATTCTAAGTAAATAATAAAGACTAAGATATACTCTCAGTCCTTAAAAACTTACAGTCCAATTCCAAAGGAATTACTTGGCTAGTTCAAAAATATACATGCATGAAATATACATAAAATCAGGGTGCAAGCTTCTGTCTACTTGTCCATATCTTATTCGAAAACATTTTTACGTAAGTAGAACTTAATGTTCCAAACTACCAAGAAATAAAAAGAACAATGTTGTCCAAAAGAGAGTATCTGGTTAATATCCTATGAAATCAGTGTAGAAATTGGTCAAATGGTTTTAACCATAGATTTTTGTATTCAAGTACCATCCTAATTAATATCACAAGATTCTTAAAAACAATGAGAATAAACTAGTTCTTCTCATATTTTTATGTGTTCTAAGTTGGTTATATTCTAAATTATCTCCCATATAGAAAAAGTAGGTCTATTCAATGTTCTACCTATAACCTAAGATATGGCAGATGTTTCAGAAATACATTATAATAATAATAAGCAAGTGGCAGTCGAGTTTAAAAACTGGGAAATTCTATCAACTAAAACAAGGCTTGCAAGGATTTGATTACATATCAAGGCAGAAAGAATAAAAGATTTTATAAATGTAATAAATTACTAACGCCAAGGATACAAAAGAAGAGTATGGAGAACAGAAATAGAAAGACTCCCTTTCTTACTAACATTTAAAAGGTCTCATTCTTCAACATTTTAACACTCTACCAATTTTAAAAGATTCTAAAATGCACAACAGATATGCTCACCGTTATTCCCAAGAGCCTTCATGGTAACTTCCATCTGTGCATATTCATAATTGAAGTTAATTTCACTGGACACCTCACTGGAGGAATCTCCATCTATATCCAGCTGCTCAGAACTGTTATCGTTCTTCATAGAGTTGTCGTGTTCCTCATCCTCTCTTTCTGCTTTCTTTTTCTTTTTAGGCAAATTGAGTCTTGGGCAAAAAAGAAGAAAGAATATTCTTTTTTAAATAAAGATAAATATTTATTCATTCCATTCATGAAATATTGGTATTTGCTAGGTGCCAAAGGGGATACCATGTAAGTACAAGACAATTACTATACTCAGGAAGTTTATACTCTAGTAGAAACAATGAAATACATACATAAACAAGGCCACATACACAACTGTTACAAGCTAGGTGATAAGGAAAAGCTGAGGACCACTTCTGACTAGAATAATAATAAAGGAAGGTACAATAGAGGAGGAAACCAACTGAACTGAAACATACAGGACAAGCAGAAATTAGGGCCTTAGGGCAGATAGAACAGCTTAAGAAAAGATATGGAAATAGAAAAGCTCATATTCTTTGCTTGGAGAAATTAAGAGTAGAATAAATAGGAAATACATAACATTTGTGTACCAAAGATTGTTAAAGGTAAAGCTGGAAAGATCAACTTAACCCAAATTATGAAGGTTTTGAATACTAAAGCAAGAAATTTACACTTGATTTAGTTTGGGAAGGAGAAAAAGTAGAACATTTTCTCTACACACTTTGTATCCCTCTAGCCTTTAAATAAAAATATCAGCTGATCTACAAGTAAAGGATTTCGCTTAGCTATGCGAAAAAGTCAGTTTGGTATCTGAAGTACAGTGACCAGGAAGAAGAATGGGCTGGGATTTTAATTTTATACAATAGCCAGCCTGACCATCCTGGCCAACACACCAATTTTGTTTGGGGGGGAAAAAAAAAATGTATGCAGTCCCAGGTAAGATATTTTCTTTCTCAGCCTACCTTGCAACTAAGAGGCAAATTCTGGCAAATGAGACATAATTGGAAGGCTGTTGGAGACTCTGGGAAGACCTCTGCTTTTTTAATCAAAAGGATAGTCAGAGCTAGTGCTACCACCTTTCTCCCTCTTTTTCTTCGTATCTGCCTAAATGTGGCTTTGATGGCTGGCTTGAAGTAGCCATCTTTAGACCATAAAAGAAATGTCAAGAAAATCACAAGACTTCAGCAATGACATTTTTGAGAAACTTAACCAATGCCGACAACTATCTCCCTTCAGATTTCTTGTTTTCTGAGAGAAATAAACTATCTGTTTAAGCTATTATAATCAAGCTTAACATTACTTGCAGCTGAAAGCACTCCTAAATGAATTACCAACCTTATTTTATGGATGAGGAAACCAAAGCCACTACTGCTTTTCAATAAAAAATAAATAAATAAAAAGATTAGCACATCAGGAAACAATGGAGAGAAAGATTAATTAAAGATTAATGAAGATTTTTTTGCCACATGGTGAAACAATCATCTTCCAATGGGAAATAAAAAAGAAAAAATATGTAAGCAAATTCATTATTCATCATAAGTGTATAATTCATACGTCCCTAGAGTTCAAACCATTTATATATATATGTACATGTATGTATATGTGGGTGTGTGTACATATATATGTATGTGTGTATATATATATATAAAGCGAAAAACCAAACCCATTGCTGTTGAGTTGATTTCAACTCATAGAAACACTAAAGGACATAGTAAAACTGTTCCATAGGGTTTACAAAGGGCGGCTGGTGGATTCAGACTGCTGACTTTTTGGTTAGCAGCTAAGCTCTTAACCACTGCGCCACCAGGGCAGTGGTTATATATATAAATTACCATATTTTTACACAAATAATGCATGCCTTATGCGTTTGTTTGCTGGCCGCATCCTCCCCCCATGAGACACCACCACAAGCACAGGCATGTCAATCCTCTTCCACAGGCTGTTGAAAAAAAAACCTGCATGCACACTTATGAAAATACCTTGCAGGGGGAGGGTGCGGATGGCAAACACAAAAGGAGGGCATTATTTGCATAAAAATACAGGGTGTGTGTGTGTGTGTGTGTGTGTGTGTGTGTGTGTGTGTGTGTGTGTGTGTGTATGTGTATATATATATAAAGTTTAAATAAATATACCTACATATATATATGCACACATATATATGAAATAAACTATATAGTAAATAAATATAAATACACAAAACAATGTAATTTTTATAACATTAAGTTTAATTTTTAATACATCTTCTATTTCACAGTATAATCTTCAATATTCACCCTATTTAAGAGCCACGAAAAATGCCATACCTGAAGAAGTGGTTGTTTCCCCATAATATTCTATCCCCGTGGTGTAGCTGTATAGGACTAGAGACACAGGAGCCATTTACAAATGTTCTGTTGGGAGAAGAGGTCAAGTACATGTAAATAATGATTATCTTATCTTCTGCATTAACTGTCCAATACTACAGAGATCTAGTGACTAGGAAAAACAAAAATGATCCATTCCCCAAAATAAAACCTGCTCTTGGTGAATTATTTTATATGTATTTACTTGTTTGCTGACTTACCTAAAGTGCTTATAGTAATAAAGCATAATAGATTATTATCCTCTATCTTTTCAAAGTTCTAAATTTGTTATACAGCTAGTCCCCAACTTACAAATGGGGTTCCCTTGCGACAACTCCATCATAAGTCAGTTCTGACGTAAGTCAAATACCTCTGTTTTCATTATTACTGCCTTTTATTATTGGTTTATTTATAGATCCGATCTTTATTTGTCTTTAGGGGTTGGAAACATTGCATATAAACTTACAGATATATTTTAACATTTATGTAATATAAGGAGCCCTGGTTGCACAGTGGTTAGAGCTCGGCTGCTAACCAAAAGGTTGGCAGCTGGAACCCACTAGCCGCTCCTTGGAAATCCTATGGGGCAGTTCTACCATGTCCTATAGGGTCACTATGAGTCAGAATCGACTTGACGGCAACAGGTAACGGGTTTATGTAGTACATATTACTAACGATAAGATGTACAAAAAAAAAACAAAACAGCCAGTCATAAGTGGGGTTCATCGTAACTCGAATACATTGTAAATCAGGGACCACCTATATAGCATATTTAGAGTGAGAATGGAACCATTACAGCCAGCAATAAAAAGATGGCAGTAGTATACAGTGTAATGAAAACAACTGTGTCCAATCTATATGCATAAAAATAGCCAAACAACCAACTAGACTCTAGAAATATCTACGATATCAGTAATGAGAAATGAGGTCTAGATTAAATTCTCCTTGTAACTTACTATAAACCAAAAATCAAACCCGTTGCCGTCGAGTCGACTGTGACTCATAGAGACCCTACAGGACAGAGAAAACTGTCGCATAGGGTAGACTGCTCATCTTGACAATGGAGTTCAATATTACAAATGATGGGTAGAAAGACATTAAGAAGGGAAAGAATTTGGAGGGGTAGGTAATAAAAAAATTATGCATATCACTATAAGACTGATATTCCTGGATTAACAGTTCAAATTCTTTAACTTGCTATTAAAGGCCCTACACAGGAACCCCCTCTGTCTCCTTGTTTCCCCCCTCTAGTTAACTCTAACTTCTGGGGAAAAAAATGGTTAATTTTCTGTACACTAAACATGATTGACTCTTTCTCCAAACCCTGTATCAGTTCTACAACCTGAAATACGGTTCTCATTCCTTGCCACCGCAGCAGCCTCATCCCCCTAATTTTACACATCTTTCAACGCTCAGTTTAGCTTCTACTTCCTCTGTAAAGCCTGCTGGTCGCTCCAGCCTACAGTACGCTATTTTCTTCAAATTCCTGTTATAGACTGAATTGTGTCCCCCGAAAATATCTGTCAACTTGGCTGGGCCATGATTCCCAGTATTGCGTGATTTTCACCATTTTGTCATCTGATGTGATTTTTCCTATGTGTTGCAAATCCTATTTCTATGATGTTAATGAGGTAGGATTAATGGCCGTCATGTTAATGCCGCAGGATTCAATCTACAAGATTAGGTTGTGTCTTAAACCAATCTCTTTTGAGATATAAAAGAGAGAAGCAAGCAGAGAGACAAGGGGACCTCATACCGCCAAGAAATAAGAGCCAGGAGAATAGTGCATCCTTTGGACCCAGGGTCCCTGCACTGAGAAGCTCCTAGAGCAAGGGAAGATTGAAGACAAGGACCTTCCTCCAGAGCTGACAGAGAGAAAAAGGCTTCCCCTAGAGCTGGCATGCTGAATTCAGACTTCTAGCCTCCTACACTGTGAGAGAATAAATTTCTTTTTGTTAAAGTCATTCACTTCTGGTATTTCTGTTATAATAGCACTAGACAGCTAAGACAACTCCTAGAGCGCTTACCTGGCTTTAGAGTGTTCATTTTTTATTTGTATACATACACACAAAATCTTACTCTATCTAGCTTTCACTCACTGTGTAGGTTTTTAAACACTAAAACTAATTGATTTTATATTCCTATAACTTGTGATTCAAAACACAAGCTCAGAAAACACATTTATGATTCATTTGTTAACAGCAGACATGCTAAAATTAGCAGATTTTAGCCTTTATGATCAAGAATTCCTTAAATATAATGAGGAGTTTAATTAAAGGCAAAAACATACAAAGACTTATTTTTAAAAGCCACAGCAGTGAAACCATGATAAGTAAAATCACGGATATAAGAGCAGTTCTCAAACTGTGGTCCATGAGGGGCCCCTAAGATATAAACTACTTTCATAATAACCATTAACAGGTTACTTGCCCTTTTTCACTGTGTTGACATTTGTACCAATGGTGCAAAAGCAATGGTGAGTAAAACTGCTGATGTTTGAGCATAAATCAAGGCAGTGACACCAAAAATTGCTAGTAGTCACGGGATTATTCACTCTCATGCACTCACAATTAAAAAGAAAAAAAGACAGTTGCACTTCTTTGATGAAGCAGTAAAAATTATTACTTTTATTATATCTTAACCCTAGAGTAGACATCGTTTTTAATATTTCATGTGACAAAGTGAGAACTACATAAAAAGTACATTTGTCACATACCAAATGTAAAAGCTATATACAAACTGGTTTTTCAGATTTGTATATTAGGCAGACATTTTCTTGACAATGAACACTGAGAGCCTGTTACTTCAAATAAAACAACCAACAGTTTATCTCTGTTACCAATGACAAAATTCAGCTTTGGAGTAAAAACTAAAATTTTGGTAAACCTCTGTCAATGTCCTCCAGCCAAAAACTATCAGGAACATACCTACAGGTGAACAAGTTAGGTTTATTACTTGTGTCAAGGGTAAAGACTCACCATGAGGAATCATGGTCTCTCAGTTAAGAAAGCATTAGAACTGGTAACACCCACTCCTCACTTATCAACATGATTAGGTTCCAAAGACCCGGTCATTGTGTGAAAATTGGCGTTACGAGAAAACAGAGGATGATCTCATCAGATCACAAAATGGAGGATGGCTACATCATTACATAACTGCCAAATTATATCATTACATAACTGCCAAATCAATGAGAATTGTGGTCCAGCCAAGTTGACACATAATTTTAACTATCACAGCCAGCGTTACTCTCCCCTCACACCTTACCGTTTGTTACTGCCAGACTTACGCCGTTAATGTGCAAAACAGTCGGATAACAAGACAGTCACTAAGTGAGGAGTAGGCATATAGGACTTGGGCTTTCGCTGGATGATATGGAAGAGGGTCTAAGGAAGAGGTGGTTCTCTATAGACTGGATACTGCCAGAAAATGGGTAATTAATAAATCTTATCTACAGGAAGGGAAGACAAGAACAAGGCTAAAGTTGTAATTGATGGAGAAGTAGTAATCAATAAAATGAGACCTGTTTACTATTTTTTTAACATTTTTTTATTACTACAGTTTAAATGAAGTTTACATTTCAAGTTAGTCTCCCATACAAAAATTTATATACACATTGTTATGTGACACTAATTGTTCTCCCTATACTGTGACACCACACTCCTCCTTTCCCCCCCGACTCCCTGTGTCCATTCAACCAGTTCCTAACTGTCTCTGCCTTTCCATCTCACCTCTGGACAGAAGCTGCCCCTTTAGTTTCTTGTATCCACTTGAGCTAAGAGGCACACTCCTCAAGAGTATCACTTTTTGTCCCACATTCCAGTCCAATCCCCGTCTGAACAGTTGACCTCGGAAACTGTTTTAGTTCTGGGCTGATAGAGAATCCAGGGGCCTTGGTTTCTGGGGTTCCTCCAGTCTCAGACCATTAAGTCTGGTCTTCTTACTAGAATTTGAGTTCTGCAACCTATCTTTCTCCTGCTCCTTTCTCTCTGTTGTGTTCCCTGTCAGGGCGGTCATTAGTGGTAGCTGGACACCATCTAGTTCATCTGGTCTCAGGCTGATGAAGTCTCTGGTTTATGTGGGCCTTTCTGTCTCTTGGGCTAATACCTTCCTTGTGTCTTTGGTGTTCTTCATTCTCCTTTACTCCAGGTGGCTGGGACCAATTGATGCATCTCAGATGGCCACTTGCAAGCTTTTAAGACCCCAGATGCCACTCACCAAAGTAGGATGCAGAACAGTTTCTAAATAAGCTTTGTTATGCCAACTGACCAAGATGTCCCCTGTAAGCATGGTCCCCAGACCCCTATCCCTGCTACTCTGTCCCTCAAAGTGTCTGACTGTACTCAGGAAACTTCTTAGCTTTGGTTTAGTCCAGTTGTGCTAACTTCCCCTATAGTGTGTGCTGTCCCTCTCTTCACCTAAGATCTTGTCTAATATCTGGTTAGTAAACAACCCTCACCCTCCCTCCCCACCCTCGTAACCATCAAAGAATGTTTTCTTCTGTGTTTAAACCTTTTCTTGAGTTCTTATAATAGGGGTCTTCTACAATATTTGTCCTTCTGTGACTGACTAAATTCACTCAGCATAAAGACCTCCAGATTCCTCCACGTTATGTTTCACAGCTTCGTCGTTGTTCTTTAACGCTGCATAGTATTCCATTCTGTGGATATACCATAATTTGTTTATCCATTCTTCCACTGATGGGCACCGAGGTTGTTTCCATCTATTTGCTATTGTGAACAGTGCTGCAATGAACATGGGTGTGCATATATCCATTTGTGTAATGGCTCTTATTTCTCTCGGATATATTCCAAGGAGCAGGATTGCTGGGTCATATAGTACCTCTACTTCTAGCTTTTCAAGGAAGCGCCAAATTGATTTCCAAAGTGGTTGTACCATTTTACATTCCCACCAACCGTGTATAAGTGTTCCAGTCTCTCCACAACCTCTCCAGCATTTATTATTTTGTGTTTTTCGGATTAATGCTAGCCTTGTTGGGGTGAGATGATATCTCATTGTAGTTCTGATCTGCATTTCTCTAATGGCTA